AAATACAACATCAGTAAAAATATGTAATATCTCATGCATAATTAAAGATCAATGAAACAATCTGATGATTCATTCCTGCTGTTTTTATCTCTTTGCAGTTGGCCGTATAGTGTTTGAGCTCTTTGCTGATGTGGTCCCTAAGACGGCAGAGAATTTCCGTGCTCTTTGTACCGGCGAGAAAGGGATCGGTAAAAGCACCGGAAAACCGCTGCACTTCAAGGGCTGTCCATTCCACCGCAGTGAGTGTCCTGACCTCCCGTTTCCATGGAGACGCATGTAATGATCTAATGGCAGGGTTCACACAATCATGGAAAAACCTAGAGAAATCCGGCAACTGTCATTTCTAGGCCTGGAAAATTTATGGAAATTACTATATAATATATACTTTCTTTCCCTGTAATGCCAATCTCTAAACTTTTTCATTTAATTTCATGCTTGCTAGACTATAATTTGTAAAAGTAAAATGTTTTTTTTTTAATTAGACACTTATATATCAAGTTAAGTATAATCATTTAAAACTATAACAATTGGCACGACATACAACTGGAAATCCACTCTCTATAAAACATTTAATCAAAATCTTAATCAGTATTCATTCGTATGTAATCAGTTGTATTTATTTTTGTACCCCTCAGTCATCAAGAAATTTATGGTCCAGGGTGGAGATTTTTCTAATCAGAATGGAACCGGAGGAGAGAGCATCTATGGGGACAAGTTTGAGGATGAAAACTTTTATTACAAGGTACCACAGAGCTGCTTTGCTATAAAGGGTATTTCACCCAAAAATAAGATGACATTTTGTTCCAATCCTGTAACACAAAAGTAATTAAGGATTATCTCGAAAATTGTAGAAATCATGATAAGATTCTGGTCACACCACCTCTCCCCAAAGTATGTCAAACCTTGTTTAATGCACATATTCCCTGACAAAATTTCAATTTTTTTAGTGAATTTGTCCTTTAATTAATCAAAGCCATCAGTATGTATAATTGCTATGAGATTAAATAAACCAAATACGGCACTTGATCTATCTCCGAGGCATTCGCTAATTTCCTGGTGTCTGCTCTGAGGAAAAAATGAGATGCAGATAAAGCTTCTGGTTTTTTTGTCAAATGAAGTGGTGCGCTATTAATCTTTTGCCCCCCCAGCACGACAAAGAGGGGCTGCTCTGCATGGCGAATGCTGGCCCCAACACGAATGGCTCACAGTTCTTTATGACCACGGTTCCCACACCGCACCTGGATGGCAAACATGTTGTTTTTGGGCAGGTGCTGAAGGGAATGGGGGTGATGAAAATGCTGGAGGGGATGGAAACAAAGGACGACAATCCTGTGAAGGTGACCATGTTAAAAGCACGCAAACATCTTTTACTTCTTAAATGCATCATGGCATTGTGACAACTGCTTTCATGCTTGGAACTATAAAGCGACAGAGATCTTAACTGGTCCTGAAGGACAGCTATTTCTGAGATCTTTCTTTCACAGTCATTTAGTCACCCTAATCAAGATTTAATCGTCGGGAAATTTAGTCTGTCACATGTTCTGCACAGGTGAACTAGCTAAGTGTGATGAATTAATGTTTTGAAAGAAGACATTGTGTGTGACCATTTTTCTCTCCAGTAAGGAAATTAAGTATTTTCCTTATTCCAGTGAGCAACTGAATATTTAGATTGATTGTAACCATCATCTCTCTCTCTCAGCCCTGCATTATTGCTGAATGTGGAGAACATAAAGAAGGTGATGACTGGGACATCGCACCTAATGACGGCTCAGGAGACACATACCCAGACTTCCCTGAGGACTCTGATGTGGACTTTAAAGATGTCATTATATTTCTGCATCTTCACTTGCATATACACTATACTATATATCACCTGCTCTATAAAATCCAGAATCACTTTAACTCAAGAAACTCGTTTTGAATTTATGCACTAGGAAGGAAAAAGGAAAGCCTAAGCTTTCTAAGGATACTTATATTATGGCAGTGGTTTTGGAGTATAAATATAATGTAGTGTGTGTGTGTGTGTGTATACTATATATATTGAATGTATATTGATAGATCAATGAATAATCAGTCATTAAAAAAGCATTACAGTCTGCCACAATATATAACATATTACAGTGTATTATATAATATGATAGCTGGGATGTGATTTACATGCTAAAAATGCAAACTAATTGAAAAAAATCCAACACTTTATTCGAAATTCTTTTTCTAGACAAACAAAGTCTTGTCTGTGGCAGAGGATTTGAAAAACATCGGGAATAACTTCTTCAAGGCTCAGAACTGGCAGTCGGCCATCAAGAAATATTCAAAAGCTCTCAGGTGAACACTTGTCTAGTCTGCCATTAAGCCCCATTATTGCATTACGCTTGCACCGTGACATTAAAGAGACAGCTTTTCACACTTGATTTCAATTTGTCAAACATTTTTAACCATACTGTCATAGCTGAGGTTTCTTTCCTCATTATGCCTTATGTCATGATGACATTTCCTTAAGCACCTCTTTGATATGCTTTACATTTACATTTAGTCATTTAGCAGACGCTTTTATCCAAAGCGACTTACAAATGAGGACAATGGAAGAAATCAAAATCAACAAAAGAGCAATGATATACAAGTGCTATAACAAGTCTCAGTTAGCTTAACGCAGTACACGTAGCAAGGGTTTTTTAAATAATATAATAAATAAAAAGAAAACAGATAGAATACAAAA